AAATAAGGATTTTAATGTATTAATTGATTTCAATAGATGCCAGACCATCAAGTACTAAGTAAGGCATGTTCAAATATTTCAAATCTGAGGTTTTGTAAAAAGATTAAAGCGCTTTAGCCTGGAATCTTTTTTTTATTCAGTGGATTAAAAAATTTAAATATGTTACAAAGGCTCATTATAAATAACAACTGTGATTTAATCTTAGAATGAAAGAAAGAAAGCATTAGCAGATTCGCTTTACAAGAATGCTACACCAAAAGATTTGGATCTTTATAAAAATGATCTTGATTAGATGGTATTAAACATTAACAAATATATTTTGTAGGAACTTTCTCCTGATTAGTAGATTGAAAGTCAAATATTAACAAAGGTATCTTGTAAAGAATATCGACTTTGTAATTTAATTCCAGAATAAAAGAAGAAAAGCATTAACGGATTTACTTTACAGAAATGCTGCACTAAAAGGTTTGAATATTTCAGTATTTATGAAAATGATTTTTATTAGATGATAAAAAAAGCATTAATGAATATAAATTTTGAATTTTATTAGAATGTGTCAACGTTGACAATATCGAATTTTAATGGAATCTTTTAATTCATCAATAGTGTGGCGAATGAATTTTATTGTTTTATTTTTATATTTTGTACTTGTAAATTTGCATGTATATTTAATTTTATCATTAAAAAATAAATAAATTTTTATAACTTATAATTCACAGGGTACTTTTTAACAATATAATTTAATGATTTAAATTCAACTTTTATTTAATTTTATTAATTGATTACTGAATTACATGTGAATTCAAATATATAAAGAGGTAAAATAAAGCTAAAAGAAAAAATATATATATGGCCAAAATACATTATTGATCTTCACAATTATATTGACTTCGTATTTTCTGCAATATAATTAGCAATTCACTTTTATTTTTTGCTCTTAACCCAGAATATTTTTTTGGGATATTATCACAAAGCTGTTCAAGAAAGGCTTTTATTTTCGCTAAGATTTCACCTTTAGTCATATTTTCTTTATTTTCTTGTACCTTCACTTCTTGCTTTGTGATCAGTATTGATCTAAATAATGAAAAAGGATTTTTGTTAATAAATACTTTAGTAATAAAATTTTGTCACACTTTCTTAGCTAAATGCATAAAATTTTTAAGATCCTCATTTAAATCGTATTCTTCTAGGCTTTGATTCACAAATTCAAGGCTTCACAGATGAATTCGAAATCTTTGGTATTCCATATTCAATTCGGGCTGGGTTCTTGTCCCAACCGCTTGATAACTGTTATACTTGATTATATTGAATAAGTTTTTTTGAAGCTAAAATTTTAATTTAAGGTTAAAAATTAGAATACTAGAATAATTATTTACCAGTAATTAAATAATTTTACATACCCTGAAGAACTTTTTACAATTTCATGTAGCTATTTGCCAATGTTATTGTTGTGGAATAGAAGGTATTAAAGTTTTCAAAGTTTTATTTATCTTCTCTATTATTGCATCAAGGCCTTGATGCTGTTCTAAAATACCTGACCGGGAAACAACACAATTTTTTTCTATGATATTGCATATTTCTGGACGAAGCCTTATCAATTAAACTTCATCAGAAACTTCTATAAAGTGATAAATCGGATAGCACCTTGCAGACCAAACAGGAGAAAACGCTCTTCTTGTAGATGCTTTTAAAAAAGAATTGTTAGTTCTTATAGCTTTTCAATAGTTAATTATTGCCTGAAGATAGATAAATATCTGTTATAATAAATTTAACACTTATTAGTAATAATGTATAGATAAATTTAGTGCAGTATAGAGACAATTGCTAATAATTACCTGTTCAAACTTTATCTGGTAAAGTGAATCATGCTAATCCTTAGCTCAAGCAATATATCCTTCAACCGATAAGTCAGAATGATTTTTCATATATGGCCACACGAGTTCTATAGAAATTGCCTGGCGATAAATGTTACAAATTGAATCCCAGGACTTGTGATGGTTAGCACATTTCTTGAAATAGGCGAGTTGATTTTCTGTCCAATAGCCTTGACATCTTGCAAATCACTTGATATCAATTTCTCTAATTTATAAAAAAAAAAAAGCGATTTTTAATTGCTTTATTTTTTGAAATATCACAAACACTTAACTTACCAATTTAATTCTATATATGCTCGAAGCATATTTATTTCCTCATGTAACTGTCCTGGTATAAGAATCAACCAAGAAAATTTTTTCTTTAACTTGGTAGTATGATGATATGGAACACCATCGCATGCTACTGCTACCCACTTGCGAGTTTCATCCTTAATACCTAATAATTTCCCTATATGCGAGAGAACCTTTTCGACATTCATGATTGAATTAGAATTAATATTAATTGGATCGGGCACAAAAGTCTCAGGAATATTAACTCCTCAATCAACGACTTGCTGCTGGGTATGACTGATTCTTGGAATATGCATATCACTTAGTTCATCACTAGTACTATTATAAGGTTTAAAATAAATAAATAAATTAGTTGATTGATTATCTATATGATTCTCGACTTCGATTTCTTTTTCTTTTTAAATTTCGGCCAATGTTGGTAATCATGCTCTACATATTGGGCATGTTTTCTTTCGATTTTCAATATTTTGTAGGTTGCAGTTAGTGCATCTTTTCATCTTTGCAGCATTTGTTGCCGTAGATGCTGCAAGAGAATCGATAATATTAGTAGATAATAATTTTTCATCAAACAACAAATTAAGAATATCAGCAAGATAAGCATGTAATTTTTTATCAAGAACTTCTTGCATTTGAGGGCTGATATCAAAAAGCTCTTCGTACTGTAAATTGCTAAGAGAATTACATATCCAAGAAATGTTAGTATGCTGAAGTTTGTTTTGAGCTGACATATTAAAAGCAACAAAACTAGTAACAATGTGGTAAACCACTATATTGAACCCATAGTCAAGGTAATTTTTTTGCCCTCTTTGTTCATTGTCAAACACAATGAATAAAAGACCTTCGGGCAATGGCTCTTTATATCTTGATAAGTCTTCTAACTACCTTTGAAATCGAGAATAACTCCCTGAGCACATAATATGATTATCAATATCGATGATCATCTTTGATCATGCTATTGAATACTTGATAGCCGAGATAGCAAGATAAACTTCTGATATATATTTATTATATTGTGCTTCATATATTAAATCAACGGCCGTAAAAATCTTAAAAAGCTTTTCTTGGCTCATGGTATTAGTATCTTGATTGTTCAGAATCAGGGTTTTTAAAAATTTAACAACAACCTAATTATGTTTAGTAAGCCATTCGTGTAGACTATATGCCATAAGACTCTCTACAGAAAACCTAGACTTATTCTGAACTAAAAATCTTATATCATCAAATATCAATATATGTTCTACATTTGCTATTTCAACTATTGCTTCAATACGTTTTTGTTAAGTAGCAAACCTTGAATTCCACTATTTAACAAGAACATGATTACGCTTACCTTGTTCATCATATAAAACCCGAATATTAATCATATTATTTTAAGCTTTCTGTAATTGGCTTTTTAATTCTTCTATTTTACGCTTTTGACCTTCAATATATTGCTGCATTTGCACAATTTGATTATTGAGGTCTATTATTAACTGTGATTTTTACTGGTTTTCTACTTGTACGACTTCCAAAAGCTATCTAGCTTCGTCAAGCTCAATTGTTGAATCTACATAAACAATTTGGTTATCTTCAACATTAATTGTTGAGCTTTCGTTAACACTTGGATTATCCTCAGCAATTCGACTTTCTTGATTAGAACCTACAAGACGCTTATAAAATTGGTTAGTTGTAGCAATTTGAGTATAATGTAAAGAACAAAGAGAATGAAATTCTAAAGACAAGTTAGCAAGTTCAGGAACATAATCATAATAATATGCAAGTTGTCTAGCTACTTCAAGGCTACTTGCATTTCGCCATTTCTGTAACCTGCTCGTTCTGCAAGATCTTAGCCCAAGGCTTTCATACTTTTCAACTAAATCCGCAAATAAACATTTCTTTTCATATACTTTCTTTTGCTGTTGTTGATCAGACACTATATAAAGATTATTTAAGACACTATGTTAGTTACAAGATTAAACCTTCTTACTTAACAATTCGAAAGAAACTCTTAGATTTGATGTCTCATTTACTTTTTTTAAAATGGTTAAATGTGAGGGATCAAATAGGATTAAAATCAAATTTGGTGCTTTATATTAACTATTAGTATATCGTTTAATATCAAATGAATAGAGCGAAAGCCCACTGCGAATATGGACACAAAAAAGCATTACACAGCCAATCAAATTCGTGATACGGTACAGGGATTATTCTAGAAGGCGATTTCCTAATTTGGTAAAATCCCTGACTGTATATTATTGGCTAACTTGGCTAACAAATCACATGATTTTGAAATTCGTACTACGTATGCGAATTTGATTTATAATTCAATTAACTAACTTCTAGACACGATTATTTTGCATAAACTTAAAATACACTGTATATATATATATATATATATAGTATAAATTTGAATACAACTTTTACATGTTTTGCAATGAAATTGATCCCACCAAATAGGATTATATTCGCCAAGTATTTATTGTCATTAATCAATATTTTAATTTTGATTGTTGCATAAATCCAAATAAAAAAAAAAAATTACCGATGAAGTAAGTTAATAATCATATTATAATATAATGGTCATTAATTTTTCGGATTTTTTTATGGGTATTACTGTATTAAAATTAATTATATTCTTCGATCTAACTAGCGGATAAAATTATGTCTTTCTTTGAAAATGAAGTCTTAGATTAGTTTAAATTTTATAACCAAGCGTAAGAATTGAGAAAAGAAAAAATATACAGTTCTAAAAGCGTGTGGAAAACGAAAGATCGAAAAATTCCCAATTAAAAAAAACTTAATCAAAAAAAAAGCATTTCTTAAAGTACGAGAAAGAAAAAAGAAAAATTCAACCCGTTACCAGCTCAAGTCCATGTTATTTTCATTTCTTGAGTCAAATTTGAGAATTTTGAAAGCATATACACCATTAATTATTGTAGAAGTGAAAGAACAGAGTTTGCGTGTTTCATCGTCAAAATATACTGCATATTTGTTTGGGAAAAAAAGCTTGAAGCTCATTCCGTTTGACAAATATTTGTCATTTGTTTCGTCTTTACAACGAATGTTTGCAGGAAATTGGCTTGCTCGTTGATCATTATGATCGTTAAAAGAAAGTATTGCTTGTTGATTCTGACTCGTGGTTGATGTCTCGATTGTGATTGAGAAATTATAATCTCGGAATGGTATTTTCAATGATTGATTTTCAAATTTAATGTCGCGAAAAAATACCATTTTTATTGAATACAGATTGTGTAAATTATGTTAATGGTGTGCTGGCCAATATGTGTGTGGGTATTCTATATGACGAAGTTAACACTTATTAATAAAAATCTTTGTTTTTTACTAATTTTTTTTTAAATTATATTTTAGCTTGTTTTACAATCGTGATATGAAAAAAATTGTACTTTATATAAATCACGCAATGCTACCTGGAAGGGGCTACGATTTTTAATTTTGTGGGTTAAAAGTGGAGAACATACTGTACGTAAATCGACGATCTTTTTATACATAATATGTTTCTCTCATGTGACTGCCTCTGCGGTTAAAAATTTACACTTAAACCGGTTTTTTTATTAAGCAAATAGAGTTTCTTCCACTAGGCAAATTTTTGTGCAATACGTACGGATAAATTTTTATTAATGACTTTTTTCCTTTGTATGCTTTGGCGCAGAAATTAATTTCTGCGCCAAAACATACAAGGGAAAAAAGCCTTTAATAAAAATTTATCGTGTATTGCACAAAAAATTGAGGGTAAGTAAAAAATGGCATTTAAACAACTTTGCCTAGTGGAAGAATTTCAAAAAAACCTCGTTTTCTTGTAATATATTCAATTCGCTATTTTACTCGCATTCACCATAATATCCACACTCACCTTATACTGTATATTTTATTAAGAGGTTGGGAATTAAAGGATATATTGGCAGCTTTACTAGAACTTTCATATAAATATGGGATTTGTCGACCAAATTTGTGTTTCAATCAAATTTGTATATTTTGATCTATCATCGATAACTCGCGTTCT